GATAATTAGCAGCGAGTGACTTTGCAAAATTTCCCATCGCAATTGCCTATCCCAGACCCAATGTTGGTACAGTGACTGACTGACTGACTGACTGACTGACTTACCGACTGGTTCGACCTGAACTCAGTAAATTAACGAGTGGGCATAACATGGTTTGCGTCTCAGGATCCTTAAAATATCTCATTGGTCATCGTACGTCGGCGATTGCTGAGCTTTACGGAGTTGTCGGTGAAAGGTCGAATCTGGCTGCAAAAGGGCGGCGGATTCAGAGCGAAACGAAGGGAAAGGACAGGTCATGTCGCGGCTCCAGTCTGACGGATAGACCGAGCCGTATTATATGTATAGAAACTTTTCCAATCATACGTCGCTGCTGGCGCGTCTACATCTCTCGGTTCTCTCTGGTCTACCCTGTCTCGAGTAGCTATACACACAGTACCTACTCCCGGTAGTCTGCATCCTTATTTTCCGAACATTGTGACAAACTCCTTTCAGGTCCATACGTAACATATCTATACACATTGAAGTAAGTCTCTCTCAGTCAACTTTCAAACCCATATCCCTTTCGGTGACTCCTTTTTACCCTGTCCCTCCTTCAAATGGTGACTTCTCCTTTACGAGTAAATTACACCAGTCATGATTTATGAAAGATTACGTAAGACTCGAGTTAAGGATAAGAAGTAGAGGGAGAGCCGTGGCATTTAAGGAGACATCGTTGCGCCTCGAAGGAACTTGCTGGTGGGAGCATAAATAATAATCATGGCCATGGCTTACGAGTGACAGAGATAGAGAGCGAATGAGATACTAGACAGGCAAATGTTGTCGCAGGCTTTAATAAGACGTGACGTAACGACACTCCTGAAACAACCTCGAAAACTGGAGAGTCTTGGAAGAGGGAGGAAAGTCCTGAAATAAGGATTATGTAACATGTGAAATTTGTCAAATGAAATTTCTTGCTATATAAAGATATTGCGTTATTCGTGTCTATACGCATATACGTATAAGCGTTAATGGTAGCTGCATTTACAGTTGTACGTAATGTTATGTGTATCGTGACTAAACGATTTTCGCACGAGCCAGCTGCCTACAGTTTTATAAAAAGAAAAGCGAATATACATGAAAGCACGTAGCACAGTGCTAAAAACGTTTTCTACTGGTGCCAGGCCGTAAGAAGCGAACTATAGGGACACTGCGAAGGCGCACCTAGGGGTAGGAAGGACCAGGCGGCTGCCGTGCACGGGGACGAGGCAGATAAATGAAGGCAGAGAGACTTAATGAGAGCCGCGGGCGCATTCATATTTATGTGAACCAAGCAATGTAGCCAGCGTAACCAACGTAGGCAGTATAGCCAGTATAGCCAACGTGGACCGGCACTGAATTAGACCAGCAGCAACCCCAAATCTCCCTTACCGTCCCTTTTCGCCGGGCTACACCTTTCACTACCCTGTGGACGACTACTATTCCCTCCCCCCTACCTCCAACCAACCCTACTTGTTTTTATAATTCTACTTGAATAATTGCCAACCAACCTTTGGGCTCCCCGTAGTCTACTCTGATCTAGTCAACAAAAAACTGACTAAAAACATCGGGGGTGATTTGGATACAGTCAAGTACGGGAAACAACCCTTAAACGGGCAACGTCTCGTAAGACAACAGTCTACTGAGCGTTACGATCAGTCTAATGTGCAGGGAGTAATGTAGTGGTTGGCAATCGAGCGTTGATAGGTATTTCTCAAGAGAGTTTCCAGAATATAGTAGTAGCGATATAAGCGAAAATGTCAGGGCCAGTTTTCTTGCTGATTACTACAGGCTCTTGCGTGTTGCAATAATGTGTAGGGTGAACGATGCTATGGAATATATTTAACCTAACAAAAAACTATATAAATGTCGAACATGAATATTTTTTTGTCGATACTTGATTACGTGTTATAGTTGAAGCAATAAATAAGGCGGAAAATATATTTCTCAATGACAGCAACAAACCTTCGAAGATCATTTTGTATTCGGAACGGTAAACGCGGATCATCTCCAGCCGAGTAGGACGTATCGGGAGCCACAAGATTGAAAAAAATAGCTGAACTCAGGAAGGCAGAGAATCCTTTTAACGAAAGCCGACGTAAAGCTTCTACGTGTCCTGAGAAGTAAACGTAGGGAGAACGAAATTACTCCTGCCGTTCGCAGGAGGACAGAAGACCGGTTTGCGTGACAAGTCATATAGAACATTTTCATATTAAGATCGATTCTACGTATACCAACCCTTTTTCTTTCTCCGTTACTCTCGTTATACACTTTCAAATTCTTCTCTTTCTCTCGTATTCTATCCATTCCCTTCTTTCCCACTTTCTCAAATCTTTTCCTTCTTTAGAATCCTGGACGAATATCCTTCAGCCTTGCGGTATATTCTCGTCCTATAGTGTTGCAAGTATTATTTAGCGTTCGATAAATCCCGAGGATGGCACGTCTGCGATCCAAAGTGCCCGTGTTCTCTCCCTGGAGATAATTTACATACCCCGGGTGTGATTTACTGACATTTTCGAGTGTTTACCAGGCTGTGTATATAGTCGCTATAGCTGAAAAACGTCAAACCTGTTCTAGGTTTAAATTATCTGTTGGTGAAATTTTCATTAAGGGGTCATATACTTTTCTCGGTTTCAAAAAATCGATTTTTTTTCATATATTTTGATAGGTATATGTCTATGAAATGTTTTAAGTCCAGAATGAACTTGAAATTTGAATTAATCTGGAAATTACAGTCTTTCCAGCGAAACGAGTCCTGCCGCTCCGCAGATCAGATTTACAGCACCCTAACGGTATTGCGCGTTGTCGGCTGAATAGAATTACGGCAAGGACGTTGGGTAGTAAAAAAAGGGGAAAACTATTGTAATATTTTAGCAAAGAGCAAACCGTACTCGTACAGTTCACAGTCAGGTGTAGGGCTCGTTTCTGGGCTTCTCGATACCGGTTTGCATCGAGCACTTAGTCTATTTTCGACCAGCAACTTGTGCATGACGATCACAAAAATGTCAGAACGACATGTATCAGAAGAGCAAAACGAGGTAAAATCTGATAAAAGACGGCCTTTGCGATCCGTTAAAAACCGAGTTCCAACCTGGGATAGTTCCGGAAAATTCCGTTGAGGAGCATGGAACGAGAAGGCTATAAATTATCTCCCAAAAATGCAATTTGGTGGGGAGTATTTTTGTTAGTTCCGGGAAACTCCGCCAGATGGCGCTTTTAAGCATTCGCGTGGGGCGTGGAATACGGAAAATTTCACTAAGACCGGAAAACATAAAGCTGCTGATGCTTTACGGTTGCTACGAATGCTATGGCTAGTATTTCTGGTAAGGCTGCAAAGGCTGCGATCAGCAACACTCCAAATCCCAAAGACTTGCGTAGAATCCAAAATGGAATTCCTACACTTTCAACTTGTAATAAACATAATAGCATTACAATACATTCTAGCTACCGCGTACAAGATTGCTTCTGACTAAACGCCTACCTTAAGTTAATTGCAAACCAAACCAGTGTCGGAGACCTCTAATAAAGTTCCCAAATTTCAAACGCAATTTTCTCCCTTATTATATAATCCGTATAAACTTTTTTCGCAATCCTTTGGAGTCTTAAAGATAATTTTTTTTACTAGTAAACGGAAATTAAACGAACAATAATAATATGCGCAATCGATGCTTAATCTAAAAATATTCGATGATTGTCGCATCAACTTTCCAAAATGGCGTACCGTTTCGCCGCAAACATCAAACGTGCATCTTGGTCTATACACTCCGTATTGTATAGGCACGTGACAGACCGCCTTGGCTTGTATTGAATTATCGAATAAGTATGATGATTGCCGGAGCAATACTCGTAGAGCCAGGTGCGCTAAGATTAGTGGCGTTGGCTAATGTTAAGGGTCGGCTTTCCCCAGACCTTGCCGACTTCACCGTCTACCAATAAGGAACGGAGACTGGCTATAGGGGCTGAAATAATTGTCGGGACGCGTGACTCCCATGCCAAGCATCCCTTGCTCGATGCCAGCCAAGAGTCTGGAACCACCGCAATGCACCCATAAACTTAATACTGCCGTTTGCTGTTGGCTATATCGTGCAGGATACGATAACGTATATCCGCACACCGTGGGCTATGTTTCCGCGTTATAGGTATTTTCAATCGTTACCCCTACCATTCTGCCCTTACCTCTCATTACTGTTTTATTTCTTAGTCGCACCCGTTCTTCCATAAATTTATCAGGATTCCTTTGGAATTCTATAATCTTCGAAATTAAGATACATAACAATTTTTTGCAATGCGTATTGTATATCTATTCTGTACTACTACACAATTTCTTAAAGTACGAGACTTAAGTTTCTGGTATTCTGCGTTTGAAGCAAGTCATGCGAATCGTACACGTGTATGCTTTATCAGATAGATAGCTTTATAGATAGATTGCTTGTACGAACTGTTAATGGTGCTGTTGATTATGAATTATTGCATTCTAATCGGTTTTAAGCGCCAAGTCATACTTAAGGTAAAGGAGAGTTGCCGAAGGAAACATATGTTAAGAAGAAGAACACAGGAGAATGTGGATGCGAAGTAGTGATGAAAAGATGAGCAAGCGATATTGAGTGATTTTGATTTGAACAAGGAACGGGCGGTGCTACGAAATTACCACTCTAATCCCCACCAGCTATAGGGGAAACTTTGGTTAAAGGGGATTCCTTCGTCTTTACTCTTGGGACGTGAGAAAAAAAGGATTGCCTACGCAAGGGATGAAAGAAAAGGTAATCCAAGATCTTCTATAGCTCGCGAAATCTTTGCTCTTCCTGTGATAGGTAATTCAAAACTCTTCGTTTGACTTCGCTGTCAGGTTTAAGCAGAATATATAATCTTTTGAAAAATTCATAATTTTCATCATCAATTCATATCATAATATTTCAAACATCAATTTTTCACAACGTTCATATTTTTCAATTAATTACTACTTCTTATTAATGTAATATGTTAGGCTTTAATTTTTCATAGACTTACGTAATACCTACAAGAGGAAACGAGTAGCATTCAGGTCTATAAATTCAGGAATTGATATATGACACGTGTAGATGCTTAGCTTTAAAGAAGTGGCAAGCGTAGCTGAAACAAGATGAAGGGCATTCTAAGTTAGTGTATGATGATTGATCAAACTTCTGGAGTCCCGTTGGGCCACCTGTTCAGGTTTAGATTTCAGAAATGTGAAACTCATCGGACTGATATACATAATCGTGCTTTTATACCCAATATGTCTTGGAGTACGAGAAATAATATCGGTACAATGAAAATTGATTTTCCTGCATAAAATGTGCAATACTCGTACAAGTGGAAAGAATCGTGTTCACTCGATTGAATTAATTTATTTCCTTGCATTACTTGGTCTGTCACTAATGGCTACCGAACCTAGGGTACAGAACCCCATCATAAATCAAGAAATAAATGAGTTCTGAAATCGAGGTGCTAATCGGCCTCAGGGATTATGATTGTTTCTTACCATTTCCCCGCCTTTCTCTCCCTCGCTGTTCAACTTTCTTTCCGAGGGAGAGACGTCAAGTTTCCGTAACTCAAGAAAACAGATCAGCATCGTGGTCGGTACCATGCGGAATCATAGGTCACAAGGTGCATAGGTTGAAGTAACAGTCCTTTATCCAGCGCCTGTACAAATTCCAACGATCACGATCTGGTGACACATAAATGACAGAATCAATTAATGACATCATGAAAATTTTTATTGTCATTAAACATCTAAAACATTGCTTTTCTCCAAAAAATAACACAATGGACTTGGCTTCTTTATCGATCAGCTTACTCTGTCATAATCACCATCCACTACGTACATATCCTGAAAAGTGACACGGTGTCTTTCACTACTATATTCCTGTTCGTTAAATGCCATCTCGACACGTCAATATCGCGCGAAATGCTCGTACATACACCAACCATCAAATCCAGTTGGAGGATCAGCCGTAATTGGATATTTCACGCGAGATATGATGTAACCTGTCAGTGACTGAGTACGGTGTGCATAAATCGATTGGTATCGATACTCAGCAGGTCCTAACTTATATATTCAAATGCATTGAAAGGCAAGCACATAGACGACTCATTTAGCGTGACAACTTCATCGATATCGAAAAGGAAAATAAAGATTTAAAAGAATAGAGAGCCAATCCCATATCTTCGACCTCGTTAACATCCTCTTCTTGTTCGATGAAATATCAAAGTTTCCCCATGTTATTCAATCGAACAAAGTATCGATGTCTTTCTCTGCCCTGTACATAGTATGCATATATACAGGATAGTGTATGCCATATGTATATATTAAACCAATGCCAGCAATTGGAATCCCCACGAATATAGCAGCGGGAATGGTATAGTGCCTCCACTGCAAGTACTTCTGGATATCTGAACCTTCTGAAGTTGGCTCTTCTAGATGCGGTTTTCTCCGGCATTACCTATCTCCACTAGACGCTAGAAGCCAAGCCGAGGTCTGCAAGAGTTAACTGCACGCGATAAACTGTAACTACTACTTCCAAGCTGCCAGCCAACCTACTAACTGTTACCACCTAATTATGGCCGCGGTAATGCCTGCTCTAGCTACCTATTTTGGTGGTTGGCTATTTTCTCTTACGTAGCCTTACCGAATACCAGTGGTGCAAGTATCCTTGTACAATAAAGTCGAACTTCGATCGGGTCACAGTAGCTCTAGCAATTTGGACAATGCGAACAGTTTTTATCATTACTCCATATGCACTTTATATCTGGTTACCTTGCTCCGTTGTTGCATTTACTACGTGTTACGAGAAAAATTTGACTTTGCGGTTGCACTTTACTCTTCGTAGGTGTATGCGTGTATAGATGGTATAGGAAACTCTCCTTGGCTCTTTGACGCCCGGTAAGTAAACCAGACGCGAATCAGCCAATTGAATTTTCACACGGTGAAAGTATTATGATTTCGTGGAGCTTTTACGGGGCGCAGACGGCAGACAGACGGTAGGCGGGCAAAAGCATTATTGGTTTCGAAATAGAGTTTTAGCTTTACTGCTCGTAAACACAAAAAGCCAGAGTTATCGTCGAACCATCGACTCGCCCTTCTCGCGAGGGGCTCTTCCCGTTTCCAGAGAGTCTCGTAAATCCGCAGTCTCGACACAACACAACCTGGGACCAAGCGCATAAAAGTCCGAACGTTGAAATAAGTCATTTACCGCCGTAATAAGTCGAATTAATTAATTTCAACGTAATCACTCCCAGACTCCGCGATAAGAGAAGCTCTTGAGATTCTTTGAAACGACGCGAAAATCGCTAGGTAAAATTTTACGTATCTATAGAAACTTCGCAAAATCATTTCGCGAGAGTAACAAGTTTCCTCCGGTGGTTCCTGTCGCGAATTCGGCGTCACCGCGTAATTACGAAGAAAGTCAATTAAAGAGATTGCTGATCCCACGTCACTGTCGCGATATCTATCCGGGGGGGAAATTCGCAAAATCTGAAAATCAATTGGTATACGTTTACTTTTTGACAACTCAAACCAAAAGCGGGACCCTGCTTAATTTAAAACACGTCACCTAAACTTTTTACCGACAGATGATGTAATGACGTCGTTTCCGATAGCTGTCAAGGGTTGTCCCTTTGAAAGCGTCAAATTGTTAGTAGCTTTATTTTAGGTCGTAAAACTCTCGATAAAACATATATACCCCACGATCGCACAAGATGTCGTCTGACCTTATGGGGGGTTCAGAAAAATATGATTCTACGAGGGATATACATATGTTATGTAATAAAGGGTAGATCAACGATGACGTATATCTTAGATCAGTCACTTTCGTTTATCAGTAAATGATTTTAGCGACTAGGCTCACTTCGTAAATTCTCACGTCTCCAATTTCAGGATTCGCGTGCGAATCAGGAGCTCGGAAAAGTTCCAATAGAATCGTATCGCTGCTATCGTATTGCGAATCATTTCTATTCGCGAGTCTTGAGTAACGAACTTCCGGATAGAAAGAGTTTGAGGAGTTTCGAATATCCCGAAGCCAAGTGATGCACGGGTAAGGAATAGCTGCACTGTCGGGCTGAAATGGCTGATGTCATTTCAGATTGGCTCAGGGCTGCACTTGCAGCAATATACAGTTACGTATATATACAGAGTTCGTAGATAGCCCGGGGCTGGGTGTTGGTCGTTTCAAATACAGGTCGGTTTCCTCGTAAAAGTATACTGCATCATCGTAAGACCCATGCAGTGCCATTTTTACTCGTAAATTCATGTTATTACGAAACTGGAATTCGCACGGAAGGTTATGCGTAGTTTCTAGATTAGAGTAGCTGTACTATATAGTAATATAATACACATGCATATATATTTACGTTACAGGAATCTGCATTGCGATTAGCGTGCGGTATATGTAATTACTGCGTATACCTGTATACTTACTGAAATTCCATTTCGTTGTTTTCACCGATATAAACAATATCAAGAATCCTGTCTTCGGGAGGTCTGGGAATCGTCACGAGATTCCAGAAGATTGTACACAGGCGGCATCCTGACAAAAAGGTCGACCCAAATCCGCGCAGTGGTCGAGACTTGGAAAAATGCAGCACGGAAACTTTTCGACAATCGTTTCGACTCCGCGTTCCAAGAGCTTGTACGCGGCTTGTAGTTTTAAGTGCTCCGATATGCTCCTTCCCTGCCAGAACACCCTTCACAAGCCGCCATGCTCCTGTGCTCCGGGTCTGTGACCAGAATTCCAAATCAACGTCTCAGTCGCTCGATCCTGAAGCAGCTGAAATCAGACGTCAACGATTTAGTTTTGGAAAATAACAAGGTAAGGTAGTGAAATAAGTAGACCCCAGAACAACGCGTAGTGGGTGAGAATAGAATTTTGATGTGCAATAATTAATAAGATTGTCAACAAATTTTGATCCACTGCCATACCAGCTACCGTGTCGTACAATTTATAATATATAGGTGAATCCATAATACTAGTTTCTAAATCCAAGCCAGGCTAGTAGCAGACTGTCGTGCGAGTCTGGCAACTGGTGCGAATGCAAAATCTATCCCTGTATAATAGAGGGTGCCTGCCTCGCTGTTCCCTCTTTTGCTTTGGCAGAATGCAATGCGTCAACCAGCCAACCACTCCGCGTGTCTCTCCACGGCGTTCAACCTTTGTGCTCTCCTCCTTTTCCGCTCTCACCTTTTGTCGTAGCGAGAACAAAACGCGTGTAAATTGGCACACCCACCAATAGAGCGACGCTCCCCTCGGCCTCTCGCGACCAACTTCTACCCCCCTGCACAACCCCTCTGCGCTCCTTACTCCTTTCTATGCAGTGTTGCGTGCACGTGAGAGTGCAACCGGGGTGTCAATTTATCCCGCTGCACTCTACATTCCGCAATGACTATCGACATTTTTTTTTTCGAGGTTGGCACTAATGCAATTATAGAAATTAAGAGGATTGTGTCACACTGTCGAATGTTCAAAGATACATCATATTTTTTATTTTAATATTGATATTATTACTCAATATCTGAATTTGGTACAGTAATGGGATTTGACTCCCTGCTCTCCAGCTTTGTTTTCAGAGATGACAGTGATGAATGATTATTTCGATAAGTTTATAAAAATGTTAAATTTTACGCTAAGTATCATTTATCTAACTTGTCTAGGAACCCGTTTATTCACACTTTTCTACGTTCATACGTCGGTTTGTCTTGGTACACGTCTGCTGGTACTTGCACCCTCTTGAAACAGCTGACGAGTGTCCCCGTAGGGATGAGGGTGGAAGAAACGTAGCTTCGCCCGTGGCTAACTAATCCACGTCCAATTGTTTTGAGTGGTTTCAATTATGCTAATGAGATGACACACCACTGACTTCCACTTGACGGCGCTTGTGGATTCTACCGAATCAGCATTTAGGCATTCGAATTGATATAGTTCGGTGCAAGGGGAATTGTCTATATTTCACAATATAAAATTTCACGTATAAATATAACCATTGAAAAGTCAAAAAGGTCAAAGTGAATACTAAACCGGAGTAAAGATCATGGCAAAAACGTTATTCCAAAATAGGAAATCCTACCTTGAGGACAGCAAGGTCAGCAGTTGAAATGACCCATTAGCGGAGTTCTAAGCTTTTCGAATTACGTCCCATTTCGCTTCTATCCTGGTTAAACGACGGCCATTTTCGCACGCGTTCGCCTCTTCCCTTCGACCTCATGGAAACCACTTACGGAAACAATTCCTTGTAAGTGGATAATGAGAAATCATTAAACCACTAGCTCGCGCGAAATGCAGAGCCTAGGTCACCCGAAGCCATCAGCAACTTTTTCGACTAGCCTAATGCCCGTTTACAAAGTATATACATATATGCTGAATTCAGTGACATCTTTGATCCCGGAATTTAGAAATAGCTTCTAGAATCAGAATGGTACCTTGCAGAAGGTACATTACGTACAGCCCCTCATACGTTAATACAGCGTGACTACACGCATACCTGTCATACATTTACTGCGACAAATACGATTTACTGAAGCACCGGAAAATGACACCTTCGTGATTGCCGTACGGTATTATTTAAATTTATCATTAACAAGGCATATTATTTTTTTCCTTACACACGATGAGGTAACTAACCGACATTGAAACACGTATAACAGAAAGGTATACCTTTCAAATAAAATAATTCTTATTACAAAAATACTTCATGACATAATATTTAAAAAGTTTCTCACCACAGAGCTTCATCTTTGCTAAATGAATTTCGCTTCTGTTACCGAACTGTCTTTCATATGTTTAATACGGTGCTTCAAAAGTCGTAAAATAGTTTCCAGACGTCATTAAAAGCCATGATCTAAAATTATCTGTCTACGAATCATTCGCGATATATTATCATTATAATCCAGATGCTATGCAGACGTCTATCTGGATTGGTTACGTGGAGATAAAAATTTCTTTTGTTATTTACGAAACGCCCTGTATATCGACGCGTCACATACAGCACGCATACGTCGGCGAAAACAATTGAAGCACGCATGCATTTGAGTTTTGTCGACTGCGACTCGTCTCGTTCGCACGGCCTGCTATTTCACACCCTCGAGATATTCTTCTCGTATGCATATATGCTTCTGCATACTCTCGTTCCCTTGCTTGCACGCTTTCGAATCCACGTATGCATGCACGTACGTATACTATACCTATATGCGAACGTATGTGGGCACTAGGGTGAGATGAATAGGTATGCTCTCGCACGGTATTCGTAGACGGCAACTTCAGGGATCAGTAACCCCATAATGGCTGTGCCAATTAACATTTTTCAATTAGCGCGTAAAGTCAAAAGTGCTGTCGTGAATGATTAGAGATTTCGCCTTTACTGTGACGAACTCTCGTTGAATGGAGTATGGTTGGGGATATTGGATTGAATTCGAAAGAAATATGAAAATTTTTTATAAGCATAAATTACGACTACTTAATAAAATATTCACGGGATGCTGGGGATGTTCTTAAAAGTTTTGATCCAGGGACGAATGCATCCTCTACGGAGATTCACTTTCCTATTGCAATTATGCGGAACTAGTTTTGAGGGTAGTTCCCAATTTGCGTCGCTTCGATAGGATCGGATCCCGATTAATTTCGTGCCAGCAGTACACAGGGGTAGGAATTGTGACACGGCGCCTATCCGCCGGCCAGGCAGTTTAATCGGAAAGAAACGTGAAAACGGGGTTGAGCGTTGATTGGCTGAAACACATTTACCGTGCGCTCGCTACTGAAACTCCATTAACTGCTAAAAATAGATCGCACTCCGAGAGATAACAATAGCCATTTGATAGCCTAGGCTATCGTGTGTCCGATCATGCAAGGATATAATCCCTGCGTCAGGAAATATCTATCTTTGATAAACTCAAAACGAAACTGTACGAAAACTAGTGACCTAGTCGATGCGATCGTTGAAATAAAAAATCTCAGTAGTGAAAATTGCCAGTGATATAGGTAGAGATATATTTGTTTTATTTCTCAAAAATCGTTCATCATTCGTACAGCATCCCGATATTTGCACAGTGCTACTTTTTTCTGCGAATTTGATGAAAAATTAGGAAACACCATTTACGGACGTACACTATACACTAGTATGTAAAAAGAATGCACGCGTTATACAAAGTTTTCAGAATTCTATGGTATATTAAACGAATTAGAAGTTATCGCAAATGAACTATAAGCCAGATGTAGATACCGACTTGGTATATTGGATGGGCGGTTTTCATTCGTCACATGAGGAAAGAAGGTAGGGTAGATGGATTGGGGCTGCAATTCTGCTCATTAAAACTCCAGTAATTAACGGTTTAGCCCCAGTTCGTGACTCCCTCATTTGTCCCTTCAACATAAGAAGTGCAGATAGGGAAAAGTCATTGAAAACCAAAAAAAACGGCGAAAGAGTCCCAGAGGGTGAACTGAAAGCCCAGTTGCTCTGGTTATGAACGATGCAAATGTCACAGCTGACCTTTCTCGCTCGATCGAGAGGGTATAAGTAAATCGAGCCTTTTCCTTTCTATCCGCGTTACAACGCGCGATCCAATTAGAAGAGACGTCCATCGTGCGCCGTGGGCTCGCGAATGAATTTCATTACCGTTAAATTACTTAGTTTCTTCCTAAATTAAATTATTCTGCAATCTCTTCAAGCGAATAGGCACGCGTGACACGCGATACATGAAAAAATACTGGACTACCAGGTATATACTTACGAGAACTCAAAAAGTCAGTGATTTCACAATTTCATAGAATTTCCTGGTTATTTAGACACGCGCCTGCGAGAACTAATGTGGTCCTGTGGACAAATTGTAAACAGACCCATAAATCTAGTTCAACCCGTCACGAATGACATGGCATAATTATGTTTAATGTGGAAAACACGCACATCGATGTAATACAGTTGGGTACAGACATATTGAAAAGTTATACAAATATCTCTGATATTGACTAAGCTTCGATATATCGAAGGATTATAACTGAAAATATATACATTATATGCAACAGTCTACCCACCAGTTTTCAACGCAACTCATAATTTTCTCAAAGTGCATTAAGTGTAGGTTGTGCAGTATCTAATTAAATGGTTGCACTGATAGCCATATAACAAGACTACCTGTACGTAGTCCCGGGTGAATGACACGTAAACGGTATCCAACAGGAAGGACTTAGGGAGTCAAGAGAAGGTCTGTTATTATGCACTCGACGAGAGGAAAATAAACATTAACGCGCGACTTAATTTCCAAGTTTCCGGTTTCTCGATGACGGTATCAGCCCTATAACGTTTCTGGAAGGAAGTTGAGTTTGACGGACGTAGGCGGTACGCAAGAAGTGGCTGCCGTCAGAAGCAGAATATCCCCCGACATTATTAATTGTCTCATTCGCGCGTTACGCTTCGAGTAACCTCCATTTCCAGAGCGTAGGTAAACGACGAGCGAGGGGGGGTTACTCAGCCCTCGTACACAAAACAGCCCTCTGCCGAAAGTTCGATCGGTCCATCCGGTAACGCGCTGCATGGAAATGAAGAGCAGTGAGGAGAGTATATATTCAAGAAAATAAGAGAACAAATTGAAATTATTTCAAGAGAAAATAAGAAGCACTGGATATCAGTTTGGATGGTAGTCATATGCATTTCCACGTAGATTACAGATAAACGACTAGAGATTAACAAGTGAGGTGTTCCGCGTTACGTGGAAAATCAGCGTCTTCACGGCAGCATCTTGAGCATCCGTCAAACGGTACTTTATTCTCTT